TTACACTACGTACAGAGAATCACTGGCATGGCACCTAACGGACCAAGAATACTGGATTCGAACCATAGACCATTGGACTTGAGCATGTCAAATGAAATATAAAATGTCAACGCCAGTTTATAAACAGTCTCGATTACCAGTATCGATTTACTGCGTGTGTGTGTGTGCGTGCGTGTATATGTGTTTGTGTGTTCGCGTGCGTGTGTGCGAGCGAAAATGGAAAGATTTACTGGGAATACACCTTAGTAAGCATACAACGAAAGAAAGCTCTGTGAGTTGGATAGCATGCCATGGTCGAACGACAACGTTCAAGATTCCAAGACCTCAATGACATTTTTCGTAATGTTTAATGGCAGAAATGTGGAAGACATTCTAATTCTACACAATATTGAAACAAATGATGTCTGATACATGTTCAGTAGTTTGACTAGTAGACTTGGCATTCTGTCTGTGGAATACACCGGTTTGGCAGGATTTGCTCGACCTTACCTTTTCGTGAACACCCGATGTCATTACTTCTTTTTGGTTTTGAATAAACCCATGCTTGTGATAGAGTCGGAATCATACAAGGGACTTTCTGTTTTTGACCCTTTTACTTTCACCAAAATCACAAAGTAATAAAACATGGATTTAGGATTTTCTACCTTATCAAGTCTGCACTTTATAATGTAACTGAAATATTGCCAAAAATACAAACATATTCACTCACTAACTCACTCACTCACTCACTCACTCACTCACTCACTCACTTACTACTTCAATAGTTTCAGCAGCCGCAGTAGCAACAAAACCAAACAGCAACCAATATTGATCGAAGTCCTTAATAACAGTGAAGACATCACCTTTCCCAGGACATGCAAAGAAGACGCTGTCTGTATTCGAGCTCAGTGAAGCGTTGAGTCAACTCACACAGCTTCTTGACAAAGTTAAATTTTTATTGTCAGAATTGGAGCACCCATGATTGCATAGAAACATTCAATATCTAAAATTACCTTTTTCACTCTTTGATCATTGAAAAGACCATTTCTGAATACCGCACAGAAAGATTTAATGGCTTTGAACAGACAAAACTGGAAAATACATGAACAATCAATAGAAGGAAATCACCCTAGAAGTGTTGTTAATTACTTCCAGAAACTAATATAGATTGTTTCAATTCGTTTCCAATTTAGCATTTATTCCAAACAGAAATTAGTCTTGCTCGATGAGGCAGCTTTACGCCTGTCTGCCTGCTGCGGGCATATTATGACGCCTTAGCTGTAGTTCTGCTGTATTCAGATGTATTGAGCAGGATTTTGGGATAAAGTCTTTAACATGTCATCGTTGCTTTTGCATGATGTGATGTCAATACACTACTGTGTGAGAACTAGGGTAGGGAACGGGAGAGGGATGGAGTGTTGTTAATTACTTCCAGAAACTAATATAGATTGTTCGTTTCCAATTTAGCGTTTATTCCAAACAGAGAGTAGTCGTGCTAAATGAGGCGGCTTTACGCCTGTCTGGCTGCTGAAGGCATATTTTGACGTGATGGCTGTAATTCTATCATAAACAGCTGCATTGGTTAGATGCAGGTGTCTTTAAGGTTGATTAGGTGTCTGTATTAACATCGTCGTTGCTTATACATGATGTGATGTTAAACACTACTGTGTGAGGACGAGGGGTGGTTATGGTGGAGGGAGAGACTTGTGCTGGGTGGTGGGATGCGGCTGGTGAGTCATTATACTCCTATAAACATGTTAACAAGGAAGAGTGAGTTTATTATCCAGGGTGCCACATTATTTCGTTGTTAATAATGAGAGAGTTTGTACTGGTAAAGATAGCTCCAGTGTGGACTGCAATTGTCACCAAATCCTGGAAAGTAATGCTGATAGTCAAACAAGGAATATAAGTGACAGTAGCGTATTCTGTTAAAGATCCGACCTCAATACTCGTCGAACAAGTCTGACCGAGGCGGTTAGCCTAGTGGTGATGGCGTTCACTCGTCACGCCGAAGACCTGCGTTCAATTCTCCACATGGGTACAATGTGTGACCGATGGGATTGTTTCGATAAGTGAGATAAAGTCTAGTGTTCAAAGATTCTTTCAGAGATATTGGTTTCGCAGGTCAAGTCGTGAATAGATAATTTATAAAGTGTGTGAGTGAGCGAGTTCAGTTTTAGCAGCTACCAATGACGACTGCATCGACGGGGATAACATCGACACTCCAACTTTTTCCAAATTACTTGCAATAATAATACCATTGAAATAGCGTTCACTTTCCTGCTGAACTCTAATTTCGTGCTCTACGTAAATGAATGAAAAAATGTGTTAGTAATCACACGACACACCTGATGTTCTGTGAAATAAGACAATAAATGTTCCAAGATCTCGAGTGAGTGAGTATGGTTTTACGCTGCTCTTAGCAATATTCCAGCAATATCACGACGGGGGTAACGAGAAATGGGCTTCACACATTTTGCCTATGTGGGGAATCAAACCTGGGTCTTCAGCAAGACGAGCGCCCCTTTAAATTACGTCAAACTGGAAGCTCTGTCACAAGGAACGACAAGAAAATGGATCTGACAAATTTCTGAAGATGTAAATTACTATGTCCTATTCTGCCGTTACTATAGATTAAGGTCACAATACGGAAACCACGCAACAATAAAAGCATAGATCTTATTATTGCTCATTTTTTCAATTAAATCCAGAGAGAACATGTCATTATTTTTGGTTTGTGTTTTGTTGTTTCCTGTCTCACAACGTTCCCAGCAGTATTCCAGCTTTTTGCTGATGGTCTGTAATTATTCGAATGTGGACACCATGACCAACAATTGTTATGAGAGTGTGCTTTTTGTAATTTGTAATTTGTAATATCACATTGATTAAGTGATAATTATTATGGGTCGCAATGTTTAAAGTTTTGAGTGTAGGTTTTGGCTCGCATCTCGCATCATATATGTTCAATGGCAATAGTATTTGTAGCGGTACACCTTTTTGTTAGCGCCTCAGAGTTGCCTCACTTGGCAAGTTGTTGACTCGTCATGCCGTTTGTTCCACCGATTTCGTGAACATTCTGAGTGGATAATGATGCTGCCTAACTTTGCTAGAATGCTCGAGAACTGTTTATAAGAGCTCAATGAAGGCCGGTTGTTGTGTTGCACACACGGACTTATTACATGACTGGAGTTATACACATCTGTCTGCCGTCATCGAGCTGTTACTTCTGTCTACCTCGTCAAGTCTGTCTGTCAACATTTCAAGACCGTGCTTGACTATTCAACTACTGTCAGTTGTAAACAACCTTCATTCAGAATATCTGCTCTCACTGTAAATGTCAAGACTCCGGTGAGTTAGTATTTGCATTGTACTAGATATCTGTATTGTCATTCATTGTAGCTTGCTCAATGTTTGTTCAATATATTATTGAATATTTTAGACTTGTCTGTGTTATATTTTGCTGGTTCAAAGGGGAGTCTTAACCCTTTTGTCAGGGCATTGTATTAACCGTACCACAATGCACAACATGCACACATGCATCAACTCGATCAGCTTGGCCACTTGATCCCGTCAGTCGTCCCTTTCGACCAGCACTGATGCTGAGGAAGGAAACTATGATTCAGTTAAGCTATGTACGGGTAGCTACAAAAACACAGATGCACTAAATATGTCATAAAAGTCTGAAAAAGGAATAAATATATAGTTCAAGTGAAATCACTTTCCCTTTTTAAAGCTTACTTAACTCTTCCACGGTCTTGCAAAACCATCGTATATAAGTAAATATCACGAGATACAGGTCAAAGGTCACTCCTGCTCCACAGTGATTCTATCATCGCACACGAAATATTGATAATTTGATAATGTCGACACTAAAGTACTTACATTATGACTAAAATATTAAATACCTTATAAACACGGATTAATCCGACATAAAAATATATTAAACGGTCATAAACCAATACTTGGAAAGGAAAGGAAAGTAAACTGACACCTTTGGTTATGTTGTCTGAGTCCCATAACCTGATTGTCTGAATCTGCTGGACTATCAAGCCTAAGTGGTAACACAAGTCTCAGTAGTATATAATTGTATTGATCAAATAAATTAGGAATCAAAAACATCAACTAAAGATTACTGATGATTAGAGCGAGAAGCAAAAAACATTAAATCAAACTACATACTCAAGGTCAATGTGATGTTCGGGTCATGGAACTTTTATTCTTTAAATATAGAATGTCCGTACCCAGTTTTCACTATCCTCTGAAACAAAATCCGTGTCGTGTGAAGGGGAAAATAGCATTGAACAAAATATCATTTAATACGTGAATGTAAGATTATTGAACTTACTCAGAGATGAGTGTGTGCGTGTGCGTGTGCGCGCGCGCTCGTGTGTGTATGTATGCATGGACATTGGTTCAGATTATTTATTTATGTCTTTGTTAACATGCCAACATGACGTCTTGATATGTTGTTTGGTGTGTTATGTTGAATAGGCATCGGATAGACTTATAGGCTGTTGTCCCAGTGAAGGTGATGCATGTCCAACAAAAGCCAACGTTCACATTATGTAACAGATTAACTGTAGCGATTTTCAATTGTAAAATATAATAGCATATTATATATTTGGAACTAGACAAAAAACTCTGTTAACACTACGTATTTAAAATGGGGGGTTTATGCACACTTGTATGCTTTAACATGTACCTTGTGTGGAGTGACTGATCTGTAATTCAACGTCACATCGTATTTACAAAGGGACAATAGCTTGCGCTGGAACGTAACGCTGTAACGTTCTGTTAGAATAATTATGATGTTTTAAAAGTTTTACATTTTCACAGCATAGTATGGGTTGGTAGAGAATCATTTTGATGCCTGAGCGACTTTTAGTGAAACTTAAGAGCTGACGATCTGTCACTTACGTTGGCGTGTTCCACCGCTTCCGTCAGGGAGTTGATGACTTCCTAGTTCCTGTATTGTTTCATTGTACAATGTCAGTTTCTAAAGTAACTTGTTAAATTCAAAGTAAACATTCCACTGTGATTGTTAAATTGAGCTGAACAGCATGCTGAGAGCTTAAGTTACTTTCCATGTTAACAGCTCCGAGTTCACACAAATCCACATTCATAAAGGAAATGTACCAGGGATGTCTGTTTCATGGCAAGACTAATTTATAAAACTGCATGTAACTAAACAGTTCATTGCCAGAACATTTCTGTTATATTTTTTCACACCGACCTGTAAATTCCTTCTCATGTATAACGGATGTAACCTGGATTTACACGCCATGGGGTGTCGTGTACGTCGGCTGATGTGGCTAATGGTGGAGCTGGGGCTGTAGAGGACGTTCCAGGCTAACGCTTAGTCTCTGAAAAACATAAGAGAAGAACTCCTTCAACTGAAAAGGAGTTCTAGCCAAGCTAAAAAATTCCAGGCTTCATCTAGGGCTTTTGCATTACAGTAAGGGCTGGGTGGAACTGATGGAACATTATGGTTCCGGGCCTGTGAGAGGGACTAGGGACACCTCTTAACCATCACTGACACAGTCAGTGTTACTGTTAAATCCTGACGTTCTCCAATCGGCAATATGAAGCCTATATATTCCTGTACTTGGCAATATTTGAAAAGAAGGACTACTCGTTGATTACGAAGCCATTGTTCCAATTTATGTTTCAAAACGTGCTGATCTCACGATTGGCATATTGGCACAAATAAATGAAATTGGTTACAATTGGTTGCGATTCATAAACCGACATATTTCTTAGATATTTTTCATAACTCTGAATCAGCATAATCTCGGCTTGTGTATGCAGTAGGTTATTCAAAATTAACATGTATTTAGTTTCAACAAACATCTCATTGTATTTTCCGATCGATGACTTGATTGTCTGGTTTGTTTTGCAAGTCGCCGTCGCATGGCTACAGTTTTGCTGCAGGACGTCAGACCACAAACACATACATTTTCAGGCAGATTAATGTGGAAGTCGGGTGTTATCTGTAGGGCCGGACACCTGGTGTCATCACTGATTCTCTGTGATCAATTCATATAGTTTCCACTGCTACCTCGCTCAGTGGATTGCCTGGTCCAGTCTCGATAATGCACAGATCACTGTCATCATAAAAATTGAAGGACAAAAGGGGTATACACTAGAGTTTGATGGTTGCTAAAACGATGAAAAATGGTTAATCAATGGTGAGCATGTTTCAGTCATGAAATGCTCTGTGGGAAATGGTTTAAGGAATGCACATTGCCCCATCTTGTTATCTTGTGATGAGTGAGTGAGTGAGTGAGTTTAGTTTTACGCCGCTTTTAGCAATATTTCAGCAATATCACGGAGAGGGAAAATGGCCTTCACACATTTTACCCATGTGGGGAATCGAACCCAGGGCGTGACGAGCGAACGCTTTAACCACTGCACTACCCTACCGCCCCTATCTTGTGATGAACTTTGGTAGGTCGTAATTCAGATTCACAGACACCGAAGTTGTGTTTGATCCACGATGAATCCTCATCAGCTTCAAGTAAGCTGTAAAGAGATTGGCACGAAAACTGTTACACATGCTGTATACAACATGACTCAATCTAAATAGATGGTGTTAATCTGAATTTCACTGAAGTATACAATGGGAAAAGGAATGTATATCTGGTATCAAAGAAATCCAACATTTCCCAAAGACGATTGTCAAATAAATATTTCACTTATGTGACACGTGTCACAATATTAACCTGTAGAGCTTGGCAGAATCAAACATCCATGGACTGCACGCAGCTGTCATCAACACGCCAGAACTCGCGGTCTGGTAATACATATGTTGTGTGCCTCGAACAAACCATTTAGAAATACATTATTTTGTGAGATACTGACAAATTGAACCCACATACCAGACATCTGCCATTACGGAGGCTATGAGCAAGAACATGTGCGTCCTAAACTCACTTCCGGGCAATGGGGGCAGAGGTTACACAGATAGCCTGGTTTTTTTCCTTATAATAAATTGAGTCTACAGAATTTAGGGATTCTTATTCTCTCAAAATATCTAGGCAAACCTACTGTCACGAATGCGAATCTTTCTATAATGCTACAAAGAATAATGGGTTTTCACTCCGCGATGAAAATGTCTCCACTTCTTAACATTTTACGACTTTAATTTCAAATGTACAAATCAGACTTTCTTGTACCATTCCAGCAACTGACTTGACTTTGCACCGGTAGATACCGGTAGGTCAGGATCGGTTCACCTTTTCGTAAAAAAATATTGTATCAACAGGGATCACAGCATCAGTAATTATGTTTGACTACATCAACAAGTATAAAACATTCATGAAGCAGAGACCATTAGTCGGGATCAGAATATCAAGCATATGCAACGACTACATCAACATGGACAACACTATCAGCTACCAATGACGACTGCATCGACGGGGATAACATCGACACAAGTTTTGAAACTCAATGTATGCACAAACAAGAAGTACACCATGATTTAACTACTTGCAGTAATAATACCATTGAAATAGCGTTCACTTTCCTGCTGAACTCTAATTTCATGCTCTACTTTCTCGTAAATGAATAAAAAAAACGTGTTAGTTAATCACACGACACACCTGATGTTCTGTGAAATAAGACAAGAAATGTTCCAAGATCTCGAGTGAGTGAGTATGGTTTTACGCCACTTTTAGCAATATTCCAGCGATAACACGGCGGGGGACAGAAAGGGGCTTCACACATTGTAGAGAATCGAACCCGGTTCTTCGGCGTGACGAGCGAACGATTTAACCTCTAGGCTACCCAACCGCCTTACCAGATCTAGAAGGATGTGAAGGCACAATAGTGTATATGGACTGGAGCACCCTGCCTATGTCCAACCAATAGAGTGTTGCAATCACCTCTAATCTAATGACAATAAATAATTATAAAAAATTAGATGCGGTTTATATACGCTAAGCTGATTCAAGCTTCAATGAACATACTCAGCCAATTAAAAAACCGGCATGTTTCACATGATCTAAGCCTGTCATCACATGAGCGTGAACATGACACCGGTGTCCTTGGCCCAAATGTGTCCTGGGCTGATCGGGTTGAGATGTCTCCCCGTGGGTCAATGAAGTGAGAGAGTGACCTTTTTTTCTTACGCTGCTTTTAGCAATATTCCAGCAATATCACGACCAGAAATGGTTACATATTGTAACCATGTGGGGAATCTAAACAGGGCCTTCGCCGTGACGAGCGAACGCTTTAACCGTTGGACTACCCCCACTGTCCCAGGTCTGTTTGTTAAGCTGTGTGAACTTCGAAACGAAAGCACACCTTGACACTTTTGACTAGTATAAACACATCAAGGTACATGTTAGCATCTGGTCGCCAGTTAACTCAAGATTGATATTGACAGAACAGCTGACGCCCTTATAAGAGACATCTTCAGTCCTGGTTTACAACATGCATGCTTTCATAGACAATCAAACCCACGCAAGCATTCATATTGAAAAGAATATTTCTCTGCATCATATTTACAAGATGGGAAAATCAAGATACGTAATAGGTTTATGTAAAGCATTAATCACAAAATCAAGTTCTAAGTGATGACACACACAAGTAAAATAAGATAGTCTTAAGACGTTTGTTTTGGTTTAAACACAAGGAAATTCAAAATCAATAAATCCCTGGCTAAGTATCAACAGCTATATCTTCATCAGTTATTACATTCATGACATTTACAAGAACGTTTTAATATTTCAACAGTTATTTGTATCAAATGTCATTTTATTTATTGTATTTCTCGACATTTAGATGAAATATGATTTGAGGTCACGGTGACCTTATCACTCAACATAATTAAGTTTTGCTCTTCCACCAACCTAAAGGACAAGTTCCGCCCATAGAAGTGATGAGATGAGATGCTGTGGAAAGCCTCCATTAATATTGTCAGAGTCAACCTAATGAGCTCTGGCGTTGAACGTCGCATTTCCCGTTACCAAACAGAGCTGAACGTTATATTAACAGCACATAGCAGGTTGTAGAATGTGTCGAATTACTGACACGCCATATTTTCACGTTACCAAAACATTTTACTGTAGAAAACTGATAAGATTAACACCGATGTGTCTGCATGGATTCTGGCAACGACAATGTATCCGCGCTTCAGATGTATTACATTTCGTCACCTTGTCATTTCAAAACCCGTTGTACAAATTACTGTGAACTTTGTAATACATTTACCTCCACTAATGTTGGCAGCCCGCTTATCTCCACCCACGGATGAGTCAATATATGGCTCCACGATTATGTGAATGAATATATTTAACATTTTGAATATAGTGTAATATTAAAAATCACTGCCATTGTTCCATGTCCTTGAAAAGGTTCAACCACTAAAAAGCTTGCTCAAGGAACATCATGCCCTGATTTCTTTGCGAGGCATCTTTAGATGATGGAGAGTCAGATAAGGACAACCTTTATTGATTAACAACTTCTTTATTCAGGCGAAGTTTCAGTGCAGATTCTCATAACGTTATCAAACAGGTATGGATCAAGTAGAAAACAGGGTTATATAAATACGAGTACAGTACTTATTTTACAAAAATTATAAGAGAAGTACAGTGACACAAGGGATTACATCTAGAAGCCAGTATAATGGACAGAGCAGAAGTTGACTGTTTACTGATGATACCTAATGCATGTGACATATTAAGCATAACACAATGAGTTCAAGAACAACTAGTTATTATCAACAATACGTTTGTCTGATAACTGCAAAGACAAACTGAGCCCAAACGCCGTCGTCAGTATTGGAGTTTTGATGCAGTGGATCTGGAACAAATAAGACATGTCTTTATTATATGGCCATCAGTAGAGTCAGGTACTTGTAAATCTGTGGAGACAGCTGACTTAGAATTAGTGCAGTTCTTTCCCACTTGAATGAATTCATTTCCTTTATTATATTCTGTTTAAAATGAAATCATTAATAAGCCAAATTACCCTCGAAAAAGAGAATCTAAACAAAACTTCTTAAAACTTGTTTCATTACTTGATAAACATTG